AAGAGAGCAGTCAAGCCAATAAAGAAATCCATAAATGAAAATGAATACTAAAAACTAGACTAGCAAAAAGACAAAATCAAAAATATGGGGGGAAATGCAGTATAACTAAAGAGTATTGTAAAAATAGGAAAAAAAGTAAAGTGAGTTTATTTAAAAATAAGGTGTTTTTTAAAAAGGAAAAAGTAAGTTAAAATGTAAAAATTAAAGGAATAATAAAGAACATTACAATACAAAAGGAGAGAGTGGTATAAGAAGAATGTCCTCCTGAGTCCTCCATTGTCCCCTCCACACAGTGTACACCAGTCTGCCTTCTCAAAGTCCTCCAGTATTTCTGGGAAAGTCTCTGAACCTGCTGCGGATGCTGTGGGGTCAGCTCAGACTCAGATCTGGCCTTACTCTCACTTGCTCTCCAAATCCACAGTTTCCCCCGAAGTCTAGAGTCTCAGGCTAATTGCAGAGATTTAATTTGCTGCACCTACAACTACAGGAGTGAATTCCCCTCCTCTTCTTTATTCACACAGCCCCTGGTGCTCCACCTTGGTTTGGGGCCCACCTCTGTTTGTAGGCCACCCTCAAGTGTCTTCCCCACCCAGACCAGAGGGGGCAGAAGTAGCAGCTTATTAAGACTCACTTGCTCAGTCAGGCTGGGAAGAAGAAGGGTTTTGGAAGCCTCAGATGGGAGAGTGCCTGCTGCAACCAAGGCCAATGGGAAGTTTCCACAGTCTGATGTGGGTTGTGCACTCTCCCAGGGGATTGGCCCAAGTCTTGGGTCTCTCAGTAGAGGTAATTGCATGGGCTCCCAGGGAGGTATGGGTTGTAACCTGTGCCTGATGACAGCTGCTCCTTCTAGAGTTGGGACTGCAGTAGCAGTATTTTGTCCCCTGTCTCAGGCCTTCTCCATGGCTTTGGCAGTGGCCAGTTGGCTTGCATTCCCCACTCTGGAATCATAAACTGTAGTTGTGTCTAGTTCTGCCACTGGTGCTCACTGGCTTATGTGGTGGCTTTGGCCAGGCATATCTATCTCTTGTTCAGTCACTAAGTTGTGTCCGACTCTTTGCCACCCCATTAACTGCAGCACACAAGGCTTTCCTGTCCTTCACTGTCTCCCAAAGTTAGCTCAAACTCAATGTTCATTGAGTCGGTAGTGCCATCTAACCATCTCATCCTCTGTCACCCCCTTCTCTTTGTCCTCAATCTTTCCCAGCATCAGGGTCTTTTCCAGTGAGACGGCTTTTCACATCAGGTAGACAAAGTATTGAAGCTTCAGCATCAGTCCTTCCAATGAATATTCAGGGTTGATTTTCAGTAGTATTGGCTGGCTTGATCTCCTTGCTGTTCAAGGGACTCTCAAGTGTCTTCTCCAACACCACAGTTCAAAAGCATCAATTCTTGGGTGCTCAGCCTTCTTTATGGTCCAACTCTCACATCCATATATAAGTACTAGAAAACCCATAGCTTTGACCATGTGGACTTGTGTCAGCCAAGTGATGTCTCTGCTTTTGAATATGCTGTCTAGATTTGTCATAACTTTTCTTCCAAGGAGCAAGCGTGTTTTAATTTCATGTTTGCAGTCACCATCTGCAGTAATATTGAAGCCCAAGCCCTGTCTGTCACTGTTTCCATTGTTTCCTCATCTATTTGCCATGAAATGATGGGACTGGATGCCATTATGTTAGTTTTTTGAATGTTGAATTTCAAGCCAGTTTTTCACTCTCCTCTTTCACGCTCATCAAGAGGTTCTTGAGTTCCTCTTTGGTTTCTGCCATTAGAGTGGTATGATCTGCATATCTGAGGTTGTTGATATTTCTCCCAGCAGTCTTTATTCCAGCTTGAGCTTCATCCAGCCTGGCATTTTGCATGATGTACTTTATTTATAAGCTAAATAGCCATATCTAGTTCTTTTTTTTTTTTTTTTTTTTTATTTTTTTTTTTTTTAAATTTATTTATTTATTTTATTTTTTTTTTTTATCACAACCATAGTGTATCTTTTTTTTTTTTTTTTTTTACATGTATTCCCCATCCCGGTCCCCCATATCTAGTTCTAACTGTTGCTTCCCATCCTGCATGCAAGTTTCTCAGGAGGCAGATTAGGTGGTCTGGTATTTCCATCTCTAAGATTTTTCCATGGTTTGTTGTAATCTACACAACCACAGGCTGTAGCATAGTCAATGGAGCAGAAGTAGATGTTTTTTTGGAATTCCTTTGCTTTTTCTATGATCCAGCAAATGTTGGTAAATTGATCTCTGATTCCTCTGCCTTTTCTAAATAAATCCAGGTTGTACTTCTGGAAGGTCTTGGTTCACGTATTGTTGAAGTCTAGCCTGAAGGATTTTGAGCATTACCTTGCAAGTGAAATGAGTGCAATCGTATGGCAGTTTGAACATTCTTTGGCATTGCCCTTCTTTGAGATTGGAATGAAGAGTGATCTTTTCCAGTCCTTTGGCCGTTGCCAAGTTTCCCAAATTTGTGGCATATTGAGCACAGCACTTTAACAGCATCTTCTTTTAGGATTTGAAATAGCCCAGTTGAAATTCTGTCACTTCCACTGTCTTTGTTCATGGTAATACTTCCTAAGGCCCATTTGACTTCACACTCTAAGATATCTGGCTGTAGGGGAGTGATCACACCATCATGGTTATCTGGGTCATTAAGACCTTTTTTGTACAGTTCCGTATATATCTGCCTCTGGGGTTGGGCAATTCACAGCTGTTGCTCATCCCACCTATGGCATTTTTGAAGGTGAGTTCCTGTGATCTGCCAATGCAGGGAGTTAGAGGCTCCCTGCTGCAACGATCTCTTGCCTCTCTGAGAGGCCCAGTCTTTTCCCTGGACTCCCTCAGCTGTGTCATACTAGCTTTCGCAGCATATCTTCAGAGCAGTCAATGCTGGTGCTCTTCCTGGGGTCCTGCTCCTGAAGCCTGAGCACCCAGCCCCCACTCACAACAGTGGGCATGAGTGCAAGCCACTCCTCAGCTGGGAAGTGCTGTTTGGCAATGACCTCTGTGGTGAATTCTCTCTGTTTGCCTTCTGAGCACCTGTTGCTTTGTTCCCCTCTGAGGTTCCCAGACTCCCCCTTGTCCTCACCTGTGAGGAGATTTCTGAAAGTCCTGGAACTTTTCCTCCTTCACAGTTCCCTCCCCAGAGTGCTGGTCCCCATCCCAAAATCTTTTTTTTTTTTTTTTAAATCTTTATCTTTTGCCCTACCTCATTCTGAGAAGATTGGCTTTCCTTTTTGGAGGTCAAGGATCTTCTGCTAGCATTCAGAACGTATTCTGTATGAGCTGATCCACTTACAGATGTATTTTTGATGTATTTGTGGGGAGGAGGTTGATCTCCCCATCTTATTCCTCCACCATCTTGAAAGTCCCCCACCTCTTAGTTATTAAATTCGAGCCCTGAGAATTAACCTTGACTTACTTTCTTTATCTTCTATATTCTCTCAAATACCCTTAACATCTTCTCATTGCCTCTCCACTGGAAGCTAGTACCACCATAGTGGAAGGAGCACAGCTTCCAGTAATGGGTCTGTAACTCTAAAGTTAGCATTTCCTTTGAGAGGACTGTCCCTTCCCTTCTCACTACCATATCCACCAAGCACTTTGGTCAGGAGGTTGGTCAGATCCTTAGCCACAGTGAGTGTTCTTCAAGGTAGAGGGCTGGCGCCCACTTTCCCCATGTCCAGTCCGTCTTCCATTGCCTTGGCTTCTGTATTTTCCAACTGACTGCTGACTTTTAATTTCCACAACATGCAGTCACTATGGTTTCAGACATCAAGGAAAGGCACATGTCCCAATTGCTGTAGGAGGTCCCCAACCAGCTCCAAGATTTCTCTGCTACTATGAAGTTAATAAGTCTCTAATAAGTTTCTTTTTTTGGTGCCATAACCCTAGCAGAGACTTCAGCCATGGCCCTTTAGCACTTTCTGAAATTGTTACAGGGTTGCCTTTCTGACACACAGGGAGCTACATCCCCACAATAGCAGATAAGCCTTCCTTCTCTGGCTCCTTTACCTAAAGTTGAATGATGTCCACCAAACCACTTAGATCCAAGCTAACATCATGAACCCTGAAGCAATACAGCAAGTTAAAATGTCATTTGTGATAAACATTCATCTGAAAGTCAGCCAAGTTGACTTTAGAAAGCCTCACATTGTTATTTGATAGCTTCTTCCTGGTTTAGTTGCTAAAGTGAACTCTTAAAATGAGTAATTCATGTTCCAAGAGAATAGTGAATGAGTCAGAAAAATTAAAAATTCACAATAGAGTAAGTTTCAAAAGGATATATGAATGTGATACCATTAAAAATTAATTATAAATACAATAAGAAAAATGTTTTCAGTAGTTACCTGGGGTGGGGGGAGCCAGTGGAGATTACAGGTAACTTTGATTTTCTTTGTAGTTTTGTTTCTCAAGTTTTCTACAGCAACCATATATCACCTTTGAACCTGATTCTTTTGACTAATATTATTTAAAAATAAAAATTATAACAAAAATAAGTAGGTGTTCCACTCTAATGAAACGAGAGTTTCTAGCAGATCCTGGTATTCTCCAGCTGAGAATTACTGTATTGGGAAGTTCCTTTAACACTCTGGACTTTATTTAGTCATCTGCTAAATGAGGGGTTGAACTAAGATCTCAAAGATCCCTTCTGATGGTAAAGTCCATCAGAAAAGTTAGACTGTGAAGGACTTTTGCAAGGTGCACACTAGATAGAAATCGATCTGTTTTTATGGCTCCGGCTTTTTTTTTTTTTAATTAGTAAAATGAGAGGTTTGTATCAGCCATGTTCACCAGCCTTTCTCCTCCACGTCTGACATTCTGAACTCCTGTGGGTCAGACTCTGGCTCAGAAATGGCTTTTCACCTGTTAGTGATTCATAGACAAAATGTGCAGCCTGATCTCCTATATGTGGGACCATGAAACAAAGATGCTGAGGCTACCAGAGGTGTATCATTAAAAGAATTCAAGTTTGAAAATCCTGTTCTTACAATCTCTTAGCAGGGCAAAGACAAGCACAAGCTTATATCTGATCTGGAAGACTGCTTGTCCTCTTTGAAGATTACTGACTTCAGGGACTATGAGTTCCACACCCTGAAGGTATCTCCTGATTTGTTTTCTGTGTGGCTTCTTTTTTTTATTTTCATCAGTATTATAAGATGTCAGATTATTGTGTTTGTTCATAATAATAGCAAAGTGCGGGAGAGAAGCCCAGACCAGGGTAGAAGGAGGTCTGCTCTCTCTGAAGCACATTGAAACCTCGGGAAAGTCATTTTATCTTAAATAAAGTGATGGACATGAGAGTACTTTGTAGACCACGAAGTCCTGTACAAATGTTAATAGTTGTTACAACTCTCTCCTCAGTAGGCCTTCATTTCCTCATTTGAAAAATAAGCTGGTTTTTATAAAACAATTTCTGATGGTCTCTTTAAACTCTCATTTCATGATTCTTTAGTAGTTAATTTCAGCAAATGTTACTAGTGGAACCTGGATCAGATTTCCCAGTTCTGGGTTTGGGATTCTTTTTAAACTGTAAATAATGTGTCCATCCCATGCATGGGAGGAATTGATATCCCAAAGCCATGCAGAAAGAACTGTGGTTTGGGTACCTCTACCCAGAGGGGTGGGCTTCCTGGTGACTCAGACAGTAAAGAATCTGCCTGCAATGCAGGAGACCCAGGTTCCATCCCTGGGTCAGGAAGATCAACCCCTGAGTTGAAAAGATCCCCTGAAGAAGTGAATGTCTCCCCACTCCAGTTGGAGAATTCCATGGTCATAGGAACCTGGTAGACTGCAGTCCATGGGGTCCCAAAAGGTCAGACAGGACTGAGCAACTAACACTTTCACTTTTTCACTTGCATCCAGAGGGGTGCCTGGGGCTTGCAATGGGAAATCATGATTTGAGGGATTGCTTGTTTCTGCTGCACTGCAAGTCCAAGAAAGGACAACAGGTCAGCCCATCAAAGTGAAAACATTTTGTTCTCTCTTTTTCTCCCACATACAGGATAAGACCTGGAATGAAGTCATGGAAATGCATCAGAAACTTCCTACTAATCAGTTAGACTTGAGAAAGCAGCAAGAGGCTGTGTGGGAACTCTTCACGAGTGAATGCACTTATTTTTTGGATCATTTATTAGTTCTTAAGATGGTAATGCTGGCTTTAATTTTTGTTAGATGGAAAACATTGGTTCTTTGGGAACTTTTTTTTTTTTTCCCATGCTGAAGAAAGGTGGGAGCCTCCCCTCTTTCAAGGAATCTTAAGGAAATTTTATTTATCTTTGGTTATCTGCAACTTGGTTTCTCTCCATTCTTTTCTTAAACATAGACTCTGAAGATTGGGTAAGACCTTCTCCGTAAACTAATGCAGCACTCCATGTGATGTCTGAATCTCTTCTGCCTGATTCGTACCCTGTGTTTACACGCTGTTTAAGTCAGGAAGCTCACAGCCACCTTCAAGGCAGCCATTCCATCTCTGATCAGCTTGCTCTTTGGGCTCTTTCACTCCCTTCTGGTCAGTCCCAGGCGTTTTGTCAGCTATGGAGCCACAGTCACCGATTTCCAAGACAACCATCCATGTGTAACACAAGGGACTTGGATTATACAGTGTGTTTATGATGTCTGTCAGGAAAATGGTGCCCCTGAACTTGTGCCGTGCAGTGGTCCTGATCTGGGGAGGCTCTGAGCAGAGAACTCCTTGTAGAAGAACCACAGGGCAAGGGATAGGAAGGGAGAAAATTCCTTCTAAGACCACAGGGAAGGATGGACCACATTGCTCCCAAGGTTGCCTCTGACCATAAGCACTTTCAAATCCTGGCATCTCTCATACCCAGGAAAAGGCACTGTCTTAGGAGACATGAGCTCAAGTCCTAGGTCTGCCTCTGACTTGCCTTGTAAACTTAAGAAAGTCTAGTCTTCCATTTCATAAAACAGAAGATTCTTTCTGTCAAGGTCCAGATAGTAAATATTTTGGGCTTTGCCAACCATGTGGTCTTTATTGCAACTACTCAGTTGTTCTGTTGCTGTGTAAAAGAAGCTATAGATAATTTGTAAAGAAATGAGTGTGGCTGTGTTAAAATAACACCTTGTTTACAGAAATGGGTAGCAGACCTGATTTATCCCACAGCATGTCTTTTGTTATTCCTGTTCTAAGCTGTAAGAGTGATAACAGTGCCATAAGATACGATCATTGTGATGACCAGATTAGTTTCCTTTGAAATCTTGGAAGTGCTATACAGATGTTAGTTATTTACTGTAAGTAATATTTATTGTGTCAGTCATTGCTAAGTACTTTACCAGCAAAATGTAAATAGCAAAGACACTTAGAAAGTTAAAACTTGGAGATTGTTTCAGTTAGGATACAGAAAACTAGTTAAGTAAGACAGTATATTATTGACCCATGTAACCATAAAGCCCAGAGGTGACAGAAAATACAAGGTTGGTTTGATCAAGGGGCTCAAAATCAAGGACAAAATTTCTTTTTGTCTCTCATCCCTGCCTTCCCTGATCTGAGCCTCATCCTATGGCCAGCTTCTGTTATAGTCTGTTATAGTCCGAGTGGCTATTGTCCTTGAGGCTATGGAAAGAGTAAGAAATAGAAAGGGGAGGGAGGGAGAGAAAGAGACAGAAATCTTTCTTAACATTCATAGCCAGAGTCTTGATTTTCATTCCGTTTGGAGTGGTTTAAGTCACATGCACACTGTTGAACCAGCTACCCTGTTAAGGAAGGAGGGTGCGCATTGTCTTAAGGCGATCACATTCAAGGAATGAGGAAGGGCGGATACTGAGGTGGCAGCTGGGATGATGTTAAGGAAAGGGGAGCACTGAAGCTGGGTGGGGACTGATCGATGTTCACTACAGAGCATTCACAGCATGAGCTCCACGGCCTTCCTTTGCCCTAATAAACAAGATGAAACTTTGCCCTAATAAACAAGATGAAACTTCCACTCCCACTGTCAACTACATAAGCTTTTTAAATTAGCATTTTCTGTTTAAAAGAAGCTCAATTAGTGTTTATTTTCAACCCCCTCCCTGGTATTTAGAGTGTATAAGTACCTCCCTTTACACAATCAATATAAATTTCCCAAAGTTGCTTGTAGATTGGAATTTTGCAACTCAAATTCACTGAAAGACTCGATATTTTTCTTAAATGGCAAAAAATTCTATGAAGCAAAGAATTTTTTAAAATTTATTTTAATTGGAGGCTAATGACAATATTGTGGTGGTTTTTGCCATACATTCACATGAGTCAGCCATGGGTGTACATGTGTTCCCCATCCTGACCCTCCCTCCCCATCCCATCCCTCAGGGTCATCCCAGTGCACCAGCCCTGAGCACCCTGTCTCAGGCATCGAACCTGGACTGGCAATCTATTTCACTATGATAATATACATGTTTCAATGCTATTCTCTCAAATCATCCCACCCTCACCTTCTCCCACAGAGTCCAAAAGTCTGTTCTTTATATCTGTGTCTCTGTTGCTGTCTCGCATATAGGGTGGTCATTACCACCTTTCTAAATTCCATATGTATGCATTAATATACTGTATTGGTGTTTTTCTTTCTGACTTACTTCACTATGTATAATAGGCTCCAGTTTCATCAACCTCATTAGAACTGATTCAAATGCATTATTTTTAATAGCTGAGTAATATTCCATTGTGTATGTGTACCACAGTTTTCATATCCATTCATCTGCTGATGGACATCTAGGTTGCTTCCATGTCCTGGCTATTGTAAACAGTTAAAGCAGAGAATCTTATAGCACAAAGATGATTTCTTCTTAATGTCTCCAATTTATCTGAAGTCATGATTTCTGTTTCTTACTGCTATATGTTTTAAATGCTTAGATACTGACAGATTTCCAGACAAATGGTGATCCCTAGATTGCAGGAAGCTCTAAATCAGTGGTTCTCAAAGTATGGTCCCTGAACCAGCAGCATCAGAATCACTTGGGAACTTGTTGGAAATCCATATTCTCATATCTCGTTAGAGACCTTCTGAATCAGAAAGGCTTGGGGTAGGGCCTGCTAATCTCTGGTTTAACAAGGCCTCTAAATGATTCTGATGCAAGTTCAAGAACCGTTTACTGCATTGATTAAGTAATATGGAAATAGGAATTGGAAAACATTGGTGATCTAAAGCCCAATCTTTTCATACCTGTAATTCTTGACTTACTTGGTCCCTCCGAATGCTTCATCATACTGATACAGAGTATTCCTATTTCAATATATTGATCTTTCTTTAGTTTATTGAGTGAGGGACAGGTTATCTGTAAGAATTGTAGTTTTTTCTTGACTTGCTGTAGGAAAACATCGATCAACTAACAGCAACATAAAGCCTCTCTTAATGTTTTCATTAATATTTAATGGCTTTATACAGATCTGAACATCTTACCAGTTATTGGATATTCACTCATTAGTTCTTTTTTCAATTTCCTGAAAGTAAAGGACATTCGAGTCTTTTGCAGAGAAAGAATAAATAAAAACTGAGAATGAATGTTGTTTTGGTCTCAAGTAAGTGCTGCTGGCAAGAAGAGAACCTTGGAAATTTCTTTGGCACTGGGAGGAGAGAAGGCTTGCTTGAACAAATTATATTCTACAGGAATGTTGTTAGGGCTCACACGGCAACGACTACTTCATACGGAAGAGCACATTTCCCATATGTTCTGTGGAGCTTAAATGTCATCATTTGTGTTTAGCACAATTCCTAACCACTGAAAATACTTATCTCTAAGTTGTTTTGTAAAATTATACTCAGGAGGTTTATGTTTAATGTTCTTGCAAAGGGCAAATATCAAAATTGAAAAGCAAAAAGTAATGTGTGTTTATTTCTTTTAAGATCTTCATGAATACATTAAAATATCTACAGACTCATGAATATCTCCTGGATGTGGATTTATGGAGACTTTTTGCAAACCTGGAGGAGCTAAGTCAGGTGAGCCAAAGTAGGAAGATTCCAGTAGCCATGTTTTAAAAATGACCAAGGGACCATGAAAATTTATGCTGTCTCTTTTTGTGGTTTGTATTCCATGTTAGCATATGGAATATGGTTTCTTCCATATTTCTTCTCCATGTAATCTTACGGTCAGGAGTTCAGGTTAATAAGAAGGAAATCTTTCCAATAGATTGCAGCCATCAGTTAGCCTTCAATAACATTTTCTAAAATTCTTCTGTGGTTATTTAAGAAAATAATCAGAATGCTCACTTCAGCAGCACTTGTACTAAAATTGGAATGAGACAAAGATTAGCATGGATTCTGTGCAAGAATGACACACAAATTCAGGAAATGTTCCATGTTTTTTCTGGAATACAAGTTCTGGAACACCTTCTAGAAGTTCATACCTTCTAGTGTATACTCAGAAACCCATCTTGTTTACTGTTTTATCCAGAAGACCTCAGACAGTGCCTTGTGCATAGAAGGACTCAATAAGTAATGTTGGGTACATGAGTTTCCTCAATAAATAATGTTGACTACAAAGAAAGAGAAAAACGTATTCCTAAGTGCTCCATCATCATAAATGACTAGTCTCAAATGAATGTTCTTTATCACATGTATTATAAATAAAAGCCATCTTTCCCCTAAAAAGGAAGCAAAGAGAGATACTACAGGAATTCATTTATAAGAAAATATATTAGAGAGTAGAGGAAAATCTTTAAATTTTGCCAGGGAGATAAATTGGAAGTAGGAAGCATCTGCAGGAACAAAATTTGAAGTTCCCCAGATATTTATTTCTTACCCCTGCAAGTGTGCCTACTCTGTTTTCCTTTCTCCCTGGCCCTAGACAAGCTTTGGTTTTGTGAACAGTCTTTTCCATATCTTCAAGGACTACGTTGACACTTGTGAGACTTCACCATTGTTGGATTTTATTTCCGTGCTCACAAAGGTAAAATCCTCTTTGGGGTATCTCAGCTTCTGTGTGATAAATTCACCCACCTCTCAGGATGATTGTTTATATTTCCTTGACCATCGTCATCATAGTTATTTCTGGGAAAGTTCTGCCAACACCCTCCCACAAGGGAACCATCCCTTTCTCCACCAATCAACATTTTCAAAAATAAGTTGCGGATTCTGTTTTTCCATTGTTATCTCTCCTGTATGAGTTTTATTAATACAAAATCTGCATGCATGGAAAAGCCATTTCCAAGTCTGTTTTTCAAATGACTTCAATTTAAAGCAATATTCACAGCAATAGTTTGTGCAGGCTAATTACATGGTTCAGTAGTTGTTCTAACAAAGATGCCAGGCTTTCTGAAAGGAATAAAATAAACCTTCAAATCCATCAGCACCCTTAATAAGACTTCTGTGTATTAAAGGAGGAGAAAGGAGGAAGACTTGTACCCCTGGTCTGATAAATGCTATTTTTTTCCTCGAGTAGATAATTTGAACTTTCTCCCCTACTTTGAGCTTCTGAATCCTGTTTCTACCTGTCATCATTTAGCAAGATTTAAGTTGTTATAATCCATTTTTTAAAATACAGATTAAGATGTATTGACTTGTAAAAATTATACTCAGGTTTATGTTTAATGTTCTTGCAAAGGGCAAGTATCAAAATTGAAAACCAAAAGTAGTGTGCATTACGAAGTACTTACATGTGGGGCTGATAACCTATATGTGATAATGTGCAGAATTAGACACGCCCCTTACTTTGGGGGAAGTTTTCATTCTAGTGGGAAAGAAATTAATCAACTAATGACACCAATGATTATATAGTAAAATTGAGATAAGTGCTGGGGAAAAAAGATACATAGATATTATGAAAGGAAACTTCTAGTTTGGGGCAGATGGTGAGGTAGTTACAGCTAGGAAATGCTTCCTGAGGCAGTGATGCTTGAGGTAAGATATGAACAAGGACTATTTAAGAAGGCAAAACAAGCAGAAAACTAGGCATAAAGTGGGGAGATCCTTCAGTGAACTCTGAAAGCAGATTAGAATAAGAAAAGCTTTGAAAAACAGGAGAAAGAATGTAAAGTATTGGAAATTAGCTAAAATCTCAGGATCTCCCAATTTCTTTAGAGTCAGAAATTATTTTTTTAGGAACATTGCATGCTACACATTTTTTATTTTTGCTAAACAAAGGGCAGAGCCCTTAGTAAGTTAGATAATGAGCATGATTGTTTGGTTGTGTGTTGGTTCAGGGTCTGAAGTCCCCTTGGTTTTCTTGATAATTTCTGTACTCCATCAAGGGCTGGGACAACTGGTAGCCTCTCTCCATTTGGCTTCTTGGACTAACCTGGTCCGTCTCCTTGGACTAACCTGGCCATCCTCCTCTAATTGTGATGAGAAGAAGCACAAAAGAGCATCAACACCCATTATAGATCCAAGTATATCATTCCTCTGCTGGTCTTGGAGGAAGGATCTCCAAGGGTGAGGGGTAGCTGCAGCTCTCTCTTGGGACATAGACACTGTGGCAGACATATCCAGGAGTATTCATCTGAAGGCTGACATCTTGCTTGGGACATTAGCAACAAGACCTGGCCCCCTAAAAATAATTTTTAATTCAGTTTTTAGTGAATAGTCTGAAGAAATACCAACTTTTCATGAAAACACCTAAGTAGTCTATCTTAGTCTTCTCAGGCTCTGTGTAACAAAGTACCACAAACTGGGTAGCTTGTAAACAGCAGAAATCGATGTCTCACTGTTCTAGAGGGTGGACATCCAGTACCCGGGTGGCAGCCGGTATTGTTAGGGCCCTCTTCTGGTTACAGACTTCTCATTGTATTCTTCACATAGCGGAGAGGGCCAGAGAACTCCGTCTGGAGTCTCTTTTGTAAGGGCATTTATTTCATTCATGGAGGCTCCACCTTTGGGACCTCATCGTCTCCAGAAGGGTCTGCCTCCTCCAATACCATCACCTTGGGGATTAGGATTCAGCGTTTGAATTTGAGGGGGACACAGCTGTTCAGACCATAGGATACATGTCCTTATAGCCTAGTAAAGCATGGACTCTTCACTGAAAGTCTATAGTGATAGCCATATATGAATGCTTCCTGATATGTTGCACATGTGCAAAGGTGGGCTGCAAAAGTTTTTCCTAAATTCAAAAAGGCCCGTGTCAGGTTAAATTCAGTTGTGCCATGGAAAGAAACCCCAAATCTCAGTGGCTTGGTTCACATCTCACTCAAGCTGTGTTCCTGCTTTGTCATTGTCCTCACTCTGGGACCCCTGCTGAAGGAGCAGCCACCATCTGCAGTGTCACCACATCTCCAGGGCAAAGACATAAAAGACTGAGGCAGAATGCTCACTGACTCTTCAAGTTGCTGGCATATCTGTTCACATTCATCAGCCTCAGAAAGTCCCATGGCCAGGCCTACCCTCAGTGGTAATTTAGGTAATGTGAATGTGTATACTTACACACTGGCCACCTGCCTTATTCTAATATAAATTTGATGTGGCTTAAGAATGTGTAGTCATTATAGCAAGAAGACATTATATAAGAATAGTGAAGAAAGGGAAAGACAAGTGTCAGATTAGGTAAAACAAGGACATAAAATGCTCGCTATGAAACAGTACATTTAATGAGATGCCCCAGATTTGACTGTTTTTTAGAAGCTGGCAGGAGAATTCAGTTTATGGATATTTTTGCAGAAGATTTTATGAAAAGTTAGATGTTGTTACTTGAATCACGTACTATGAGCACAGGCTGAGGCAATGTCTGTTACCAGGTGTCATGCAGCCTGTGTAGGCTTCCACAAAGCATAAGTGAAAGTAAAGGGTTAATTAAATCAAGATGTCCCAAATAGTATTTTTTTTTTAAATACAGGCAAAAAAAGGCAATTTACTGAGGAGTTACTATTGTTCAGTCACTAAGTTGTGTCCAACTCTTTGCGACCCCATGAACTGCAGCATGCCAAGCTTCCCTGTCCTCACTATCTTCTGAGTTTGCTCAAACTCATGTCCATTGAGTCTGTGATGCCATCCAACTGTTTCGTCCTCTGTCACCCCCTTTCCTCCTGCCTTCAGTCTTTCCCAGCATCAGGGTCTTTTCCAGTGAGTTGGCTCTGCATCAGGTAGCCAGAGTACTGGAGCTTCAGCTCCAGCATCAAGCTTTCCAATTGAGGAGTTGATGGTTTATTATGGGGATACCATTTTTTAATAGTGTTTACTTTGATGATCACCTGTTTCTCTCCATGCATACATGGTTGATAACGGTGTGTCCCCAGCTTTCCCTGCCTTTGTTACTGATAAAAGTGAAGAGGTCGTCTCTCGGTGCTTTTCATCCGTTCACTCTCCCACACTCTTCTCCTCTTGCAGTATTTCCGAGGCAGCCTGTGTCAGAGCCACCAGACCTACTGCCTCAACTACTCGGCCGCTGTCTTTTATCTCGAGAGCCTGAAGCAGAGACATGACTTTGGAATTTATTTAAAAGTAAAGTACCTTTTTCTTTTATATTCTTCCTGAGACTCTTCGGCTATAACAGGTACTAGGAACTATTAAGACCCAAATTAAGTGGAACAGGAGGGAAGTAAGTGATCAGGCATACATTTTAACTACAAACCTGCTTTCAGTAGGAACCCATCATCCACTGCAGCATTAGGATTTTAAATAGTGTTTATCTGGAAACATTGTACCACTTAACGTCCCTCCTGACATTTTAACTGGGGATGTAAAATGTTTTATCTGTCCACTGGTTTGTTTTTAGAAGAAGTTGGTGAGAAAACTACAAGTAGGGATTGAGGCTTTATTTGTGATACACGTCTGGCTCTTGCAGGATTTGGTCCCAGCAAGGTCCTACTGCCCAAAAGCTCGGTGCACCATTTCCATTGTACTCTACGCGAGTGGCACCTCCTAGAGAACATCATAGCACACAGTGTGAATGCTGCCCCTGAGCTTGTCCAGCATGGCAGCTGTGGGTCCCAAGCGTTATTCAGTTCAGTCACTCAGTTCTGTCCAACTCTTTGCAACCTCATGGACTGCCGCTCGCCCGGCTTCCCTGTCCATCACTAGCTCACGGAGCCTATTCAGACTCATGTCCGTCGTGTCGGTGATGCCATCCAACCGTCTCATCTTCTGTCCTCCCCTTCTCCTCCTGCCTTAACTCTTTCCCAGCATCAGGATCTTTTCCAGTGAGTTGGTTCTTCACATCACATAGTCAAAGTATTGGAGTTTCAGCTGCAGCATCAGTCCTTCCAATGAATATCAGGACTGATTTCTTTTAGGATGGACGGTTGGATCTCCTTGCAGTCCAAGGGACTCTCAAGAGTCTTCTCCAACACCACAGTTCAACAGCAGCAATTCCTCAGTGCTCAGCTTTCTTTATAGTCCAGCTCTCACATCCATTCATGACTACTAGAAAAACCATAGTCTTGACTAGATGGATCTTTATTGGCAAAGTGATGTCTCTGCTTTTTAATATGCTGTCTAGATTGGTCATAACTTTTCTTCCAAGCAGCAAGCGTATTTAATTTTATGGCTGCAGTCACCATCTGCAGTGATTTTGGAGCCCAAGAAAATAAAGTTTGACACTGTTTCCCCATCTATTTTCCATGAAGTGATTGGACCAGATGCCATGATCTTCATTTTCTGAATGTTAAGTTTTAAGCCAACTTTTTCACTCTCCTCTTTCACTTTCATCAAGAGTCTCTTTAGTTCTTCGCTTTCTGCCATTAGGGTGGTGTCATCTGCATTTCTGAGGTTATTGATATTTCTCCCAACAATCTTGATTTCAGCTTGTGCTTCATCCACCTCAGCAAAACACATGATGTACTCTACATATAAGTTAAGTAAGCAGGGTGACAATATACATCCTTGACATGCTCCTTTCCCAATTTGGAACCAGTCTGTTGTTCCATGTCTAGTTCTAACTGTTTCTTCTTAACCTGAATACAGATCAGGTGGTCTGGTCAGGTGGCAGGTCAGGTGGTCTGGTATTCCCATCTCTTGAAGAATCTTCCACAGTTTATTGTGATCCACATAGTCAAAGGCTTTGGCATAGTCAATAAAGCAGAAATAGATGTTTTTCTGGAACTCTCTACCTTTTATGATGATCCAACAGATGTTGGCAATTTGATCTCTGGTCCTCTGCCTTTTCTAAAACCAGCTTGAACATCTGGAAATTCACAGTTCACGTACTGTTGAAGCCTGGCTTGGAGAATGTTGAGCATTACTTTGATAGCATGTGAGGTGAGGGCAGTTGTGAGGTAATTTGAACATTCTTTAACATTGCCTTTCTTTGGAATTGGAATGAAAACTGACCTTTTCCAGTCCTGTGGCCACTGCCAAGTTTTCCTAATTTGCTGGCATATTGAGTGCGGCACTTTCACAGCATCATCTTTTAGGATTTGAAATAGCTCAACTGGAATTCCATCACCTCCACTAGCTTTGTTCATAGTGATGCTTCCTAATATGAAAAGGAGTACGTCAAGGCTGTATATTGTCACCATGCTTATTTAACTTATATGCAGAGTACATCATGAGAAACGCTGGGCTGGAAGAAGCACAAGCTGGAATCAAGATTGCCGGGAGAAATATCAATAACCTCAGATATGCAGATGACACCACCCTTATGGCAGAAAATGAAGAGTAACTAAAAAGCCTCTTAATGAAAGTGAAAAGGAGAGAGTGAAAAAGCTGGCTTAAAGCTCAACATTCAGAAAACTAAGATCATGGCATCTGGTCCCATCACTTCATGGGAAATAGACGGGGATACAGTGGAAACAGTGTCAGACTTTATTTTTTTGGGTTCCAAAATCACTGGAGACAGTGATTGCAGCCATGAAATTAAAAGACGCTTACTCCTTGGAATGAAAGTTATGACCAACCTAGATAGCATATTAAAAAGCAGAGACATTAGTTTGCCATCAAAGGTCCATCTAGTCAAGGCTGTGGTTTTTCCAGTGATCATGTATGGACGTGAGAGTTGGACTAAAAAGAAAGCTGAGCGCCGAAGAATTGATGCTTTTGAACTGTGGTGTTGGAGAAGACTCTTGAGAGTCCCTTGGACTGCAAGGAGATCCAACCAGTCCATTTTTTTTCATGTATTTTTATTAGTTGGAGGCTAATTACTTTACAGTATTGTAGTGGGTTTTGCCATAAATTGACATGAATCCACATGCCATGGGTTTACATGTGTTCCCCATCCCAATCCCCGCTCCCACCTCCCTCCCCTTCCCATCCCTCTGGGTCATCCGAGTGCACCAGTCCCGAGCACTTGTCTCATGCATTCGACCTGGACCAGCAATCTGTTTCACACTTGATAATATACATGTTTCAATGCTGTTCTCTCAGATCATCCCACCCTCACCTTCTCCCATAGAGTCCAAAAGTCTGTTCTATACATATGTGTCTCTTTTTCTGTCTTGAATATAGGGTTATCATTACCGTCTTTCTAAATTCCTTATATATGCATTAGTATACTGTATTGGTGTTTATCTTTCTGGCTTACTTCACTCTGTATAATGGGCTCCAGTTTTATCCATCTCATTAGAACTGATCAAATGTATTCTTTTTAATGGCTGAGTAACATTCTACTGTGTATATGTACCACAGCTTTCTTATCCATTCGTTTGCTGATGGGCATCTAGGTTGTTTCCATGTTCTGGCTATTATAAACAGTGCTGCAATGAACATTGGAGTACACGTGTCTCTTTCAGATCTGGTTTCCTCGGTGTGTATGCCCAGAGGTGGGATTGCTGGGTCATATGGCAGTTCTATTTCCAGTTTTTTAAGAAATCACCACACTGTTCTCCATAGCAGCTGTACTAGTTTGCATGCCCACCAACAGTGTAAGAGGGTTCCCTTTTCTCCACACCCTCTCTAGCATTTATTGCTTGTAGACTTTTGGATAGCAGCCATCCTGACTAGCGTGTAATGGTACCTCACTGTGGTTTTAATTTGCATTTCTCTGATAATGAGTGATGTTGAGCATCTTTTCATGTCTTTGTTAGACATCTGTATGTCTTCTTTGGAGAAATGTCTGTTTAGATCTTTGGCCCATTTATTTGATTGGGTCATTTATTTTTCTGGAGTTGAGCTGGAGGAGTTGCTTGTATATTTTTGAGATTAATCCTTTGTTGCTTCATTTGCTATTATTTTCTCCCATTCTGAAGGCTTTCTTTTCACCTTGCTTATAGTTTCCTTTGTTGTGCAAAAGCTTTTAAGTTTCATTAGGTCCCATTTATTTATTTTTGCTTTTATTTCCAATATTCTGGGAGGTGGGTCATAGAGGATCCTGCTGTGATTTATGTCGGAGAGTGTTTTGCCTATGTTCTCCTCTAGGAGTTTTATAGTTTCTGGTCTTACATTTAGATCTTTAATCCATTTTGAGTTTATTTTTGTGAATGGTGTTAGAAAGTGTTCTAGTTTCATTCTTTTACAAGTGGTTGGCCAGTTTTCCCACCACCACTTGTTAAAGAGGTTGTCTTTTTTCCATTGTATATCCTTGCCTCCTTTGATAAGGTGACCATAGGTTCGTGGATTTTTCTCTGGGCTTTCTGTTCTGTTCCATTGATCTATATTTCTGTCTTTATGCCAGTACCATACTGTCTTGATGACTGTGGCTTTGTAGTAGAGTCTGAAGTCAGGCAGGTTGATTCCTCCAGTTCCATTCTTCTTTCTCAAGATTGCTTTGGCTATTCGAGGTTTTTGTATTTCCATACAAATTGTGAAATTATTTGTTCTAGTTCTGTGAAGAATACTGTTAGTAGCTTGATAGGGATTGCATTGAATCTATAGATTGCTTTGGGTAGTATACTCATTTTCACAATATTGATTCTTCCAATCCATGAACACGGAATATTTCTCCATTTATTTGTGTCCTCTTTGATTTCTTTCATCAGTGTTTTATAGTTTTCTATGTATAGCTCTTCTGTTTCTTTAGGTAGATATACTCCTAAGTATTCTTTTTGTTGCAATGATGAATGGTATTGTTTCCTTAATTTCTCTTTCTGTTTTCTAATTGTTAGTGTATAGGAATGCAAGGGATTTCTGTGTGTTAATTTTATATCCAGCAACTTTACTATATTCATTGATTAACTCTAGTAATTTTCTGGTAGAGTCTTTAGGGTTTTCTATGTAGAGGATCATGTCATCTGCAAACAGAGAGAGTTTCACTTCTTTTCCTATCTGGATTCCTTTTATTTCTTTTTCTGCTCTGATTGCTGTGGCCAACACTTCCAAAACTATGTTGAATAGTAGTGGTGAGAGTGGGCACCCTTGTCTTGTTCCTGACTTTAGGGGAAATGCTTTCAATTTTTCACCATTGAGGATAATGTTTGCTGTGGGTCTGTCATATATAGCTTTTATTATGTTGAGGTATGTTCCTTCTATTCCTGCTTTCTGGAGAGTTTTTATCATAAATGGATGTTGAATTTTGTCAATGGCTTTTTCTGCATCTATTGAAATAATCATGTGGTTTTTATCTTTCAATT